ACCTGAACAGGCACACTCCAGCAGCGCAGCTAACAGGTGGTGCAGATGCTGGGGTGGGCCAACTCAAGGCCCTGGATCTGGACCAGCCAGAGTGGTAGCTGAGTCGGTCAGCTCACCAGCTCTCCCACATCACCCAGGCAAGGGGCAGGACCAGCTCTCCCCTGCCCATGCCACCTCCAGCATTACCTTGCAGTGGCCAGAGAAGGGCAGGGCTAGCTCAGCACAGCCCTCGGACATCAACATGGCTTCCCAAAGCAGCCCAGACCACAGACATCCGCATGGTCTTCGGCTGTAACACGGGCCACAGACATCAACACATATACAAGCATGGACACTTACATAGGCCATACGCACACATACACACAGAGACACAAAATAAGCCCGGCTTAAATTTCCGTCTGCTGCCCTGCGGGATTCAGACTCACACCGGACTAGCCAGCCACTCGGCCACATTCACCCCCACTGCCCTCTTTCGCTGTTCCTGTTCCTGCTGGCATCTTTTGTTTTTGTAAGGGAAGAAGGGATAGTCTGGCTTACGGCGGGGGGTGGGGGTGGGGGTGTTGTTGTTTTCTTTCATTTTGAGATTATAACATAATTACATCATCTCTCCCTCCCCTTTCTTCCCTTCAGACCCTCTCCTTACTCTCTCTCACGGCCTTTTCAAAGATTAATTTTCATTACATACACACACACACATATATATATGTGTATATATACACATACATACATACATACATACATACATACATACATACACCATCTCGGTCTGCACAGTGTGACTGTCTGTGTCATCAGGGCTGACACGTGGTATTGGATAACTGACTGGCGGGCCCGTCCCTGGGGAAGCGGTGTCGCCCACTCTCAGTTCCGCTAACCTCCCGAGTCTTCTCATCTAGTCCTCCTACCTTCACATCATGTATGTGTGCATGCAAATGTGTGTGGTGTGCATGTGTGGGTGTGCGTGTGTGCATACATGTGCCCATGTGTGTGTGCAGTCCAATGAGTTTCATTAGGGTGGCTTCCAGAAACCTGAGTACCTTACCACTGAAGAAAACGTAAACGTCTCTTCTTCTTCCAGCAACCATTCATTAAGTACCTGATCCTGAGAAAGAGAGGGGCCTTGGGAGTCCCTCCCCGACCCATGGCTGTTGAAGGGCCCCATCCTGTTCAGGTCTTAGTTAGTCACAGCTGCCGTAAGCTCCAAAGTGTAACTACCACATCGTGCCTAGAAGACAGTGCCCCACAACACTCCACCCCTTCCTCAGTTCTTCCTCATTCTTCTGTCTCCCCTGAATCTTGAAGGGGGTGATGTGAATGTCCCACTCCTGGTGGGGTGAACAGTAACCTACTCTCGGCACTTTGACCAGTTATGGCACTGCCCGCTGCAAAAAGAAACTTATCCGGCTGGAGCTGAAGCAACACTAATTTATCAGAATAATCATAATTATTTAAAAGGTAATTTCATGAGTATATTATATGCACGTAGCAAAACAACAGCTTTAGCTCCCTTCTAGAGCCTATGACCCTCCTCGGCCTTGGGCTTTTTACCAGACTTACAGTACTAAATGTGAATTCCAGTCTGTGGAGCAGGCCTCAGACCACTTAGAAAGCCGTTGATTGACAGGCCTACCACCACTGCACCAGGGAGCACATCAGTGAATAGTAGGTCAGTAGTGTAGTATGCAAGGCCCACAGGTAAGGCTGTCGGTCACCCTGGCTTAATACCTTCCAGCACTACGAGGGCTAGCGAGAAGAGAAGTTTCCAGGCCAGCTGCAGCTTGGTTGCTGTGTCTGTAACCAGTGTGCGGTGTCACCAGCAGCAGTCCCACCATCTAGTTCTCATGGACAAGCAGCAGCAGTGGCGATTGCCTGCACTGTTTTGGAGGCCTTAGAGGGCCTCCTTGACCAAAAAAAACTCATGGAGGTGGCCTGCCCCCGGCACTGGGACTTCCACAATAGCTTCTGGGAACAGCTTTATTAATCTATGCAGGTTATCTCCATTCTAATATTTCTTAACGTGTGGGGATGGGGTATGTGCACGTATGGGTGTGTGCCCTCGGGATCCAGAAGAGGGCATCACATCCCCTCCCTGGAGCAGGAGTTACAAGCAGTTGCAAGCTGCCTGACGTGGGTGCTAAATCCTTCAAGAGCAGCAAGTCCTCTTAACCACTATGCCATCTCTTCAGCTTCTAAGTTTACCTTTTAATTAACTTACTTATACTTATCAGGTTTGCTTATGGTTTCTTCATACACCCTTAGTTTTGGCTGACTGCATTAGTCAGCGTTCTCTAGAGGAACAGAACTTATAGAATGTGTGTGTGTGTGTGTGTGTGTGTGTGTGTGTGTGTGTGTGTGTGTGTAGATATAGATATATGACTTATTAGAGTGGCTTACAGACTGTGGTCCTGATAGTCCAACAATGGCTATCTACCAATGGAAGGTCCAAGAATCCAGTAGTTGCTCAGTCCCTGAAGTCAGATGTCTCAGCTGGTCTTCAGTATGCTCTGGATTCCAAAGAAGCAGGTTCTAATCCCAGCGAAGGAATGGACTTGCCAGTGAGAGTGAGGGCAAGCGGGCAAAGAACAAGAGCTTCTTCCTTCCACGTCCTTTATAGAGGCTGCCAGCAGAAGTGTGGCCCAGATTACAGGTGGATCATCCCACCTCAAAAGATCTAGCTTCAAAGTGGGGCTTCCCACTTCAAATGATTTAAGAAAAAAAATCCCTCAATAGTGTACCCAACCATTTGGATTTTAGTTAATTCCAGATGTAGTCAAGTTGACAACCAGGAATAGGTATCACACTGATGTTTCCCCCAATCCTCTCTCTCCTCCTTTCTGCCTCCACCCCCACTTAAACACTCTCCTTCTGCTTTCACATATGTGTTCTACGACCCTCCTCCTACCAGTACCTAAAGCCCCTCCCCCTTTTTGGACCCTTTCTAGTCTCCTGATTATACACACACTTGCCCCCACATTAATGCACGTAGATTAAAAAGCCAAAACTGAGATCTGCCCACCACATGAACCATTAGCTTTCTGTGTGTGGGTTGCCTCATTTAACATAATGTTTTCCAATTCCATCTATTTTCCTGCAAAATTCATAATTTATTTTCTATTATAGCTGCATGAAATTCTGTTGTGCATGAGTACTACATTTTCATTATCCATTCAAAAGCTTTTTATTAAAAAGCAAAAAAAAAAAAAAAAAAGCTGAAATGAACTCAGTGTGGGGCTCCTCAGAGCACTGCACAGGAGGAGGCGGCAGGTGCCAGTGGTGCCCTGCCAGGACAGCCATCACTGCCCACCAAAGCAAGCCTCCTGAGAAAACGTTATCCCAGTTTGTTCTGTCTCTTTCTGTCGGTCTGTCTGTCTGTCTGTCTGTCTCTGTGTGTGTGTGTGTGTGTGTGTGTGTGTGTGTGTGTGTGTGTGTGCCGCACTCTGTTTCTCTCTGCCTCTTTCTCTCCCCCTCCCTCCCTCCCTCCCTCTGCCTCTTTCTCTCCCCCTCCTTCTCCTCCTCCACCCCTCCCTCCCTTCTGCTTTTCTTTGGTTACAGGAACATGCTCAGCCAGCACACACAGCAGACCACAAACACTGGAAAGCAAATGTCCCTGAAGTAGCTTCACCCATAACGGCTGAAAACCGGCGCCTGAGGAACAGGTTCATCACTTTCTCCCACAGTCCCTGGGCAGACAAAGCCTCAGTTGCCCACAGAGGTCATCTGCTCACCGACATGCACTGCACTTCCTTTCCTCTTTCCTCCTGCCTCCAGGAACACTTCTAGGAATCATGTCACTGAGCAACCACTTTGCCTTCAAATCTTTGTTTCAGGGACTGTTTCGGGGGAAATCTTTGTTTCAGGGACTGTTTCTGGGGGGAGCCAATCTAAGATGTTCCCAGGAGTCAAGTTATTTAAAGTCACTGGGGTTACATGGTGTGGGGTTGTAAAGGCATCAATTAAAGCATTAAAAAAAATCGGGGTGGAGTCCAGAAATGGACCCACTTGTATATGAACACTTGGTTTACAGCAAGGGAGGACATTCTGGGGAGTGGAAAGGGACAGCCACCCCGTGAATTAAATCTGACCTCTATTTGTGGACACCAAAGCCAATTCCTCCTCATGAGCTGGTGAATAACAGGACAGAATTTCCTGATAATGCACTAAGAAAACAACTGTATTACTTTTTAGAAAGTAACCACTTAGGGGAATTTCTTCTCCATGCACAAACAGCACTGGAAATAGCCAGTTCTCATGCTCAGGAGACCATCCTGTGTGTAATTGTGTGTGTATGCTTCTGCCCACTAGATGTCAGCAGATGTCCCCTTTTATCACCCATTATGACAAAAATATTCCAAGATATCATCAAATGAGGGCTCTGGTTGAAAGACCCAAAAGGAAAGGGAGAAAACAGGATGCCCAATTAAATTTGAACTTCGGCTAAGGAAGAAAAAGTACACATATCTGCATCCACACACGTAAACATACAGAAAGAAAACCAGTGAGGTATCCTTTCTCGCTGGACCCCACAGCACAGGCCTGTTACCCCAGTTTCTCAGGAGGCTGTGGCAGAAGGATCACAAGTTCAAGGCCATCTGAGCAACTGAGGAAGAGCCTGCCTCAAAATAATAGAAAGGTATATGGGGGCCATCGAGATGGTTCGGTGAGTAAGTGGCCTGCTGAGAAATCTGACAGCCTGAGTTCAATTCCTGGGACCCACAAAGGGGAGGACTGACCCCACAAGCTATTCTTTGACCGCCACACAGATACTATGGCACATGCACACATGTGTACACAAACATGAATACATTCACACTAAATAAATAAAATGTAATTAAAATTTTAAGTTTACAAAAGAGGGCTGGGGATACAGCTCATGCACATGACCCTAGGTTCAATGAGATTTTTTTTCATTGTTTACCTGGTATCCATATTTAATTGAATGTCCTATATTTTATATGATTATCTACTGAAGGGTGCAAAAACCACGCCATAATTGAGAGTCATTGACTTGGAATAAAAGTTATTTATTTAATAAATTGGACTACAAGAAAGATTTTTATTCATCAAAAGATATCACTAAGTAGAAAAGGAAAGCCACAGAATGGGAACTGTGTAAGCCATGTAAGAAGGCAAGAGCTTTAATCCCAGCACTCAGCAGGCAGAGGCAAGTGGATCTCTTAGTGTTCCAGGGCAGCCAAGGCTACACCGTGGGACCTTGTCTCAAAAGCAGGGAAAGGGTTTGTGTCACATGTATGCTGACACAGAACACAGCTCTCACCCAAAGATCTTATTTGGAGCCAAATATGAGTGGCCATTGCCCCGGACCCCAGAATTCAGGCTGCCCTGAATGAAATGCTCCACCATGACCACCACTGAAGGGACTGCATAAGCTTTTATAGTCACAATGTATTGGTGGAGATGGCAGATGGGCAGGTTACAGAAAAGTGGAGAAAATTCTGCCATAGGTTTCAGGTGCTTTCTGATGCCATTATGAGCCTAGGGTTGATGGAAACTCGTGATCTACTACAAATACATCCCAAAGGTTTTCTGGTAGCCAAAGGGCATCAGGTCAGACACAGATGATGGGCAATAAGTAAGACATATAACAACCCCAAATAATTTGCTCTGGATTTGCAATATTCCAACACTTTCTGAAGGTCTGATCAGCCAGCCATCCACCTTTGTGGAATCTTTAACCCAGGTGTGGCTTTTTCCTTGGAACTTACTCTACAATTATGAACAGAGAGCTCACGGACCCAATTTGTAAATTATGCATATTGATCAATAAGAAAAGATCAGGTGGCTAGGTGTGGTGGCACACACCTTTAATGCCAGCACTCGGGAGGCTGAAGAAGGGGGAATCTCTGTGAGTCCAGAAAAGATTAGACAACTTGTTGAAAGCACAAGTAAGAAACCTGAATAAGAAGTTAACAAAATAACACAACCAAATCCTGATAAACATGCCAGTTGTCGAACCGCATTAGCATCAGGAAAACACAAATTAAGCCTCAAAGCAACAGCATTATACTCTCACAAGAATGGCTAAAATTCGGAGGACTGACAAGGAGAGAAACCAGAACTCTTGTCTTCTCCTCAGTGAGAGCATCAATTAACTCAGTCACTTTGATAATATCAACTGAGAAACTGAAGATGCACATCCTCCATCCATCAATTCCACACCTAGGAACATATCTACACCATCAAGCATGAGTAACAGTAATAGTGTGGCCTGTGAACAACTCAGAAGTCCATATGAATGAATAAAACTATCGCGAAGTCAAACAACAGGGTACCACCCAGCAATAAACATTAACTAGTCACAAAAACAGGTGAATCTCACGATCAAAATGTCAAGTATAGAAAAGGGCAGATTGCTTATTTTTTCTATTCTTCTCTCATACAATACATCCTGACTGCAGTTTCCACTCCCTCCTGATGTTTTCTGTTAGCTTAGTGGCTGCACATGAATCTACTGATATTTTAATTATCGTCTGCAGCCCCAAGGCCCCTCAGTCAGTGCCTTACCTGACTCAGGATGCTCAGGCTGCTGCCTGGCAGGGCTTCCAGTCCCGAGGCCCCGACTATGCCATGGCCACAATATGTAGGTTTAAATTAAGTCTCTATCATTCTATTTATCAATAAGACTCAAAAGTCAAAGGCTGGGGTGAAAACCTGTTATATCAGAGAAGCCGAGAAGCAACAAGTTGACCTTGTTTTTTTGGCTGGAGACACCGCAAGAGATGTGTCTCTTCCCTCGTCCCAGAACCAAGAAGTGCAAACTCCAGTCCCTGCCCTTTCCTTCCTATGCATCTTCTCTATGCAAATCAGGCCCTGCTTAGTTGATTCTGTGTAGTGTTCTCCTGGTGTCCTCCACCCCTGTGACCCCTAAAATCCTTCCTCCCTAACTCCCACAGGGTTCCCTGAGCTCCATCTAATGTTTGGCTGTGGGTGTCTGCATCTGCTCCCATCAGCTGCCAGAGGAAGTCTGTCTGACGATGATTGGGCTGGGCACCAATCTATGAATATAGCAGAATATCATTAGAAATTTCACTGACTTTTCTTCTGTTAATCGTATTTGGTTCTACCCTAGGTATTTGAGCCATCCAGCTTCTGGTTCCTGGCCATCCAGGCAGTGTCGGGCATGGGCTCCCACTCATAGAATGGGCCTCAAGTTAGATCAGTCATTGGTTGGCCACTCCCACAAGCTCTGAGCCACCATTGTCCCAGCACATCTTGCTGGCAGGACAGATGTGGGTCAAACGAAGGTTTTGTGGGTGGGTTGGTGTCCCAGTTCCACCACCAGGAGCCCTGCCAGGTTACCAAAGATGGCCAGTTCAGGCTGCATATTCTTTATTACTAGGAGTCCTTGCTAGGGTCACCCTCACAGATTCCAGGAAGTTTCCACTGCACTAGGTTTCCATATGAGCCCCTAAATGCCCCCCATTCCAATCGTCTCTCCCTGTACTCTCTCCCTCCATCCCTCCCTCCCCTACTTGGTCCCTCTTGTTCCCATCCCTTCCTGCCCCCAGTCCACCTGCAGAATCTATTCTATTTCTCCTTCCCAGGAAGATCCATGTATCCCCCCAGAGCCTTCCTTGTTACTTAGCCTAGGTCTGTTGATTGCAGTGTGGTTATCTTTTACTTAACAGCTGATATCCACTTATAAGTGAGTACTTATCATGTTTGTCTTTTCTGGGTCTGGATGACATAACTCAGGATGATTTTTTCTAGTTCTATCCATTTGCCTGCAAATTTCCTACCACATTTTTTTAATCAGCTGAGTAATACTCCATGTGTAAATGTATATTTTCTTTATCCATTCTTTGGTTGAGGGACATCTAGGTTGTTTCCAGTTTCTGGCTATTATGAATGAAGTCACTACGAATGTAGTTGAGCAAGTGCCCTTGTGGTAGGATGAAGTGTCTTTTGGGTATATGACCAAGAGTGGTATAGCTGAGTCTTGAGGCAGATCAATTCTAAAATGGCAGATTTAAAAGAACAATTGCATCAGTTTACTTACATAAACTTTCAGAAACAGACAAACTAATCAGGTGTTAAAATTTTAAGATGACCATTATATTTGATGAGATGGAGGAAGTAGAATCAGGAAGAGACACCCAGTTGGTGGAAGGTGGGAGGATGCTTCCACACTGCTGCTGATGTTGTTTCCTGGTGAATAAAAGCCAATAACACAGCCAGGGGTTCACAGCAAGGATGGAAAGTGCTGGAGTTCACTTCCTAAGCAGAGTTTTCTCCGAAGAAAGCAGGGGGCTTGTGCTGGGGAAATACACACATTCAGTAGTGAAGACTCAACACATACAGGCAGGCGAGTCCCTGGATACACTCGGTTCAAGGTCATAATCACGGGATCAAAAAGGCAGCCATGGAAGCCTCGGGCAGATGGTTTAATACCATAATAAGCAAGTTAACCGCACATCACCTAAAAAGAATGAGTCAGAGTGACTCAGTGACTTGGGCCAGTTCCTTATACTTTTGTCCAAAGCCTCTTAGCTAAAACAAAAGGGACAGCATCAGTAAAGGCTCATTACCGTCTTTGAAAGGGCTCCCAGCCCTGACAATGACAGGATGTCTCACCTGGCCACTAACAATCACAGGAAATGTGTTCACTTAGTGACATCTCCTTTGGTTTTATTAGTGTTACACTGTATCTCAGAGATCGTTTTCTCAGATTCTCAGTCCCTCCAAGTACTTTTGGTTACTTAATGTCCAGCTAACACTAAACTCCTGCTCTTCGGTGGCTTTTCTTTTGTCTTCACCCCGACAATTTTAGGAGTTGTTGAGATAGGGTCTCAGTATTTATCCCTAGCTGTCCTGTTCTTCATGGCCTTTGGGGCTACATAGGTCAACCACAAAGGAAGATTTTTCTTAATCAACTAGAAATGTTTCATTTGTTGAATTTACACTGTGTCTGTTGCCTTTTTGTGGGAGCCCGTTCTCGGGTTCCTCGTGGCTTTACCCAGCAGGTCCACATAGAGGATGATTAGGACCACGGGCCTGAGTGCAGGTGTCTGAGATGGTCTGCACTTGACTGTGCTGGGGGAGGAGATCTTTTGCTCCACCCCTTGGCGTCTCTATAAAAACCCTGGGGCAGAGACAGTCAGGGCCCGTTGGAATAGGTTCCAGGCCCTCTCGAGGCTATCCTTTATTTTCTATCTGTTTATCTCCGCGATATTCTCCGCAATAAATCCTTCTATCTAATATTTCCTGCTGCTTGCACTCAAGAAAACTCTGGGGAACTGTGGGGGTGGTTGGGTAAACGCCCCACAGAATGGCGCCATGAACAGGGACTAAAGAAAAAGAAAAAAAAGGGACTAAAGAAAAAAGAAAAAAAAGGGACTAAAGAAAAAAAGGGGGGACTAAAAAAAAGGGGAGACTAAAGACAAATGAACAGGGTACTAAAGACAAAGTAATAGGGACTAAAGATAAAGGAAAATAATAGTTTTAATACAGAGTTTTTGGCGAAAGTGCTGAGTCAGCCCTGCCAGTGGAAAGGCATGCCGATGTTATGGAAAATATATATTTTATATATATATATTGAGAGGCAGGGGTTTTATCCTCGAGAGAAAAGGAAAGCGGACTGGAAGGATGTCCGATGCTGCAGTGAAATTCTTTTCTGTCAAAATTTTCTATCTTGTATCGCTTTCTCAATTTCTATCTGTGAAAAACAAGTATAAGACATAGGATAGTAATATAGTTTAGGAAAAACTTAGAAGTGTAAGATTGTGTAGGAAAAAATAAGTAAGGCAACTAGACAGAAAAACTCTTCAATTTTCTAACTTTGGGGGCTATAAATGCAAACTGGGGGAAAAAATCTTTCTTTGGGCTTTTTGGGTAGTAAAAAAGCTCTTGTTTGAGCTTATGGGGAAGAAAAAGTTTCCTATGGAAGCTTTTGACCTGGGGACAGCTGAAATGCTAAGTCCAAGCAGCAGGAGAAAGTGACTTCTCCCTGAGGCAAAAAATGGGGGTGTAAAAAGCCAAAAAGTTTAAAGTTGGGAAGTTTTGGGAAAAGTTGGTCTTTCTCTTGGGGAAAAAAAATCTTTCTCTTAAACTATAAAGCTTTTCTTGGAAAATTTGGGGGAAAAAATCTCTCTAAAAAGCCTTAATCTTAAAAGCTCTTAAACTTAAAAACTAAAGCCTTTAACTTTCTCAGGACAAAAATTAGAATCACCTGAAGATATTAGTATGGGGACCACCTGTGATTAGCTCAAAGGGAAAACAACAAACCTCTTAAGATAGCAAAACCTAAGTTCTCTTTCAAGCTTTAAAAATCCTCCCTGCAATGCAGGAGGCAGGGACAAGTTCCTAAAAACCTCTTCTAAGCTGTCTTTTCAAGCTAGTAAAAGACAGTGGGTCAGAGTACCCTGAAGGAAACGCTTGGGAGAGTGTGGGTGAAGAGCTACAGAGCCCAAAAGGGCAGGAAACTATCTGAGAAAAGCAAAAAAGCCAAGCCTTTCAGTTACAGCCGAGCTGAGGCATCAAGGGTTTTGTTTCTGAGTGAGCGTTTCAGAATGAAAAGGTGCTCCTAATTGTCCTAATGCAAAGATCCCCTGAAGCAATGCAAACTGTTAGCATTGTATCCTCGCTTCTGACCAAAAACCCAGAGGTGACTGGTCAGCGTCTCTGAGTTGGAGTGCATTTCGGGGATACTAGGGTTCCTGCAGTTGTAAACTTCCTGGAGCACAGAGCTGAGGCAGGAAGGTGCAGGACCCAGGGGAAGATTGCTAATGAACAACCAAAGCTAAAGTCAGTGGGAACAGCACAGTTGTCTGCTTTCCTACAAGTCCCGGGTTGATAGGTCCACAGCTGCAAAAAGAAATCTGAGAAAAAGCTTTCCTATCAGAGTAAGGACCTTTCTGGGAAAACAGTAAAGCTGAACTGTGTCTGAAGCAGTTGTGCTGCTGAGTCAGAACGCTGTCTGGGGAAAGAGCCCAGCCAGGGCAAAACAGAACTATCCAGGAGTAAAGCTTTCTTTTCTGTCAGAGAAAGTACCTCTTTGAGAAAAGCTTTGTTTCAACTGACTCCCTGAGATGAGGGAGTGTAGCCCTGAGGGGTGATTGCCTCTGGCATAAGCTCTGTCCTTGAGCACCCAGGCAAGCAAATGCAACCCACTGGGGGACTGGGCCAGGTGAAGGCCTGATGAGGCAAAACACCTGTCCTAATGGGAGTTTAGAAACGGCAAAAACCTCCCTTGTTAGATTTTCAGTCTGTACGCAAACCACACAGACCCTGAAAACAAACGGACAAAAAGCCCCTACCTTCAGCAGCAGGGAAAGCCGCCACTGTAGTGTCGGAAACTTTCTGGGGTAGAGGGGATAAACTGAGACCAAACTGGATACTGTCTGGGAGAAAGACTCTGAAGAAACAGAAGGGACATAATCCTCCCCAGAAAAATGCATGACCTGAAAAAGCTGCTAGAATTTGAGGCAGATTCTGGGGGAGAAAAGCCCCTACCTCCAAAGGCAGCTAGCAGAGGTACAGAGCCGCAGACAGATACCTGAAGCTCTGCATCTGGGGGGGAAAGGAACAAGCAAAATGAGAATAAAATCAGTGGGAGAAAAATCTCTTCTGAAGGAGCTATGGGAAAGCTCATGTTGTACATGATCTTGTTTTTCACTGACTGGCTAAGGCAAGCACAAGCCCCGAGGAAAGTTGCTATCAGAAATGCCAGCCTCAATGCCGGCTAACAAGGCAGGTGCGGTTCTGATTTGGAGCCAGTGTTTGATGAAGGAGAAACACCTGTTAAAGCCAGTTGAGAGAACAGAAATCTCCCAATGTGCCATAATTGAAAATGTAAAATGCTTGTTCAAATCTCCTGTTGCAAAAGCAAAAAACTTTGTTCAAACCTCCCGGGCAAGAATTTGTAAGCAAGTCTGGTAAAAGAACCAGTTGACTCTCAAACCCAAAAAGAACTATGGGAAATGACTGCTATAAGGGAAATGATATAAGGGACTGATATTATGGACTGATATAAGGGAAATGCATTCTGGGAAAGGTAGTTTTCCGCTAAAGATGTCGACATTGCCCTGAAACTTTTGTCAGCTCGAAAATACGTTCATGGTAAATTTAAAACACAGTTTTTAAAAGAATAAGGAGGAAAATCATCTAAGAGTTTAAGTGTCAGTTCCAATGAAAAATTGAAAGGATACGGAACTAGGTGCTTCGCGGTTTGGGGCTCCATTGGTAAAATGCCTTATTTACCCTAATAGCTGTGCAAAGTTTTTACAGTAGTTGGAAGACAAAAAGCTACCTTTAAGAGCAAACAAGCCACTTTAAAATCCTTAAGAAAGCAAGAGAAAGCAGTTTATACACTGAACGTTGTCTTAGATATGAAGAAACTTATGTTGAAATTTAAAAAATTCTTTACCTCTTGAACAAACTGCCTGCTATGAGTAATTCCTTTGCAAATCTAATAAGGAGACAAGGAAACAGGCATTCAAAAAAATGACTGCTTTATAGATGATGGGAAACAAACTTCAGAAAATCTAGCTGTCTTACAAAAGAGTTGCTTCACCTGAAAGTTCCTTATAAAAAATCAATGCTAAATATCACAGCTGCTAATAACATCAGGAGTTAAAGCTAATGAAGTGAAAATACTAAATACAGTTCGGAGCTGTGCCACTTGTGGCTTTACTAGCTCCTTTAGAAAAACACTTTATATCACCTAATAGCTGTGCAGTATTTGACAAAGAGCTTTACAGCAGCTAAATACGGTAACTTCACCCTCAGTGTGAAGTGGTTTTTCCGTAGAACAAACCAAAAGTACTGCTGTAATAGAAACATTTGTCTGAATTGAAGCACTTAGGGGAACTACTATGAATTTGGGTGAAGGGACAGCCTCTAGTTAAAAACCGTTTACCGCTGACAGTGCATCTCTGCTGGTTCCGGAACGGCTGAGAAAACTGGCAACTTTGGAGTGTGGCTTCGTCCCGAAGATGCTACAGTCCCCTAGCAACAACTATCACAATTCTATAACAACACTCACTAAATCCCAGTGTTTTATAACAAAGATGACTATAAATTCCAAACTTTAGAAATGATGTACGTACTTCCTGTCTAGTTAAGAGAATCTTTCTAATAGAGATAGTGATAATAATTAAGAGTAAGAAGTAGAAAAGGATGAAAATAAGATATGTGAGTTTGAAAAAATTCTCTTGTTAGATCTCTGTGTTAAGTAATCTTTAGGTGTTTGCTAAGTTAAATATATGCTAATGGTAGCCCTATATAAGTTTGTAAAATAGATCTATAGAGTTCCTTTAAGAATATAGGCTTGCAAGAAGTATCTAAGGTAGTCTTAAGACATGTAGTAATAAGCTTGAAAGAAGTAAAGATGTTAGTTGTAAATGTAAGTTTAAATAAGAAATAAGATGGAATGAATAAAAGTAGTATATAAGAAGTAATAAATATATTTGCTAAAGTAGTTCTATAGTTTCCTTAAGGAGTATAAATAAGTAGATGTTAATACGTTATATGCGAGTTTGTACAATGTAAATGTTGAATGTGAGTCTAAATGCTTTGCAAGGCAAATGTTAAGAGTGAGTCTATTCTTAATGTATATGGTTGAAAGAACCTGAGACACAGAAAGAAGGTAGTGTCGCAGTAGACTGCAAAGTAGGCAGTCTGAATGTTTTAAAAAGCTCCAGAAGCCGCTAAGAAGTTAAGAATGGCGGACGCCAGAACCAGCACAAGGCATCCGCAGCTGAGATCCGTGGAAAATCAGCAGAATACAGAAGAACCTGAGCTAACATCAAAAACGGTGCGGTTTAGAATACTACTGTACCTAAAAAGGTCTCTGGTTTGAGAATAAAAGTTGCAGAGATGCTTATTTGAACTAAAATTGTTAACTATAAAAAGTTTTGGTTGAAAAACGTCTCTTCATATTTGGAAATGAAAGCCGGATACTAGAATTTATTTCTTGTTTGAACTTTTTGAACTTAAAATGAGATAAAATTACAAAAAGAATTCGGTTATGGATTTCTCATATTTGGAAGGCTAGTACCAGAATTTATCATTTGAATTTTAAGACTTAAGAAATGAAATGAACAATAGAGATTTCATTGATATGGGACAATTTTGAGTTTACTTATAGTAATGACCTAGGAACTGTTTGCTGGAATTGGGTTAAAAATGGAACTGCTTAAATGAAGAAATTTATTTCTACCTAGAATCAAGATGCAGTTTTGTGTATGCATATATGCTTTATTAATTGGTGATTCATGAATTGTTTTGTGGAACTGTTTATGTAAAAATGAAATTACTTACAGAACTGGTTTTGTGTTACAAATGGAACTGTTTAAATGGAAAAGTTTGGGTTTTCTAACTAGGCTTGAGATTTTGCTTAAATTATAAAGAAAAGGGGGAGAGTTAATATTCCTTAATCTAATTTCAAAAGTTGTTTGAGTGGATTAATGTCATATTTTGTTAGTAAGAAATGCAAATGGGGTATATTAAGAGACTACTTTTAAAGTGTGCAAAGAGTTTAATTAAGAAACTGCTTTTGGATGTTTTGCTAAAAGTTTTCCAAGTGTTCATGGTTAGATTGAAAATATTGCTTTTCAATATGGGTTTGAGGAATTGTATAAGTTTGGGTTCCTCTAACTAGGTTTGAGATTTTGTTTAAAAAATTATAAAGAAAAGGAGTTATGAGATTGAATTATGTTTGCAGAAACCTATTGATATTAATGCACCCTGGTTTTGTGGAGTTAAGGAATATTTAAGTTTGATGTGAATACATTGAAGTTTTTCCTATGTTCTGTTAGCAAGAAAATTCAAATGATTGAGTTAAAGTTGTACGACGGAGAAAATTGTTAACTATATATCGCACCATATATGCTAATTCAAATGGTTCTGTTGAGTTTGCTTTAAGTTGTAAGATTGAGAGAATTGTGACTATGTATAGCAATATTTATGTTAACCTGTTAATGGTAATGATGAAGCTAAGGGATTCTTTAAGTTTGTAGTCACCTTAAGAGTTTTTGGTTTAGAAAGGGCTTGAGGCAGCTAAGACTGCTGTAGTCTCCTTGGACCTAATTCAAAAGAGAAATGCCATCTTTATCATCCTCTACTCCCATACTGGGAGGTGTAACAGCTATGAAGATTGCTGTAAGCCATTAATAGTTATTTTTTTATATATTAAGAAAGGGGGACCTGTGGGAGCCCGTTCTCGGGTTCCTCGTGGCTTTACCCAGCAGGTCCGCATAGAGGATGATTAGACCACGGGCCTAAGTGCAGGTGTCTGAGATGGTCTGCACTTGACTGTGCTGGGGGAGGAGATCTTTTGCTCCACCCCTTGGCGTCTCTATAAAAACCCTGGGGCAGAGACAGTTGGGGCCCGTTGGAATAGGTTCCAGGCCCTCTCGAGGCTATCCTTTATTTTCTATCTGTTTATCTCCGCAATATTCTCCGCAATAAATCCTTCTATCTAATATTTCCTGCTGCTCGCACTCAAGAAAACTCTGGGGAACTGTGGGGGTGGTTGGGTAAACGCCCCACACCTTTTAATATCCCATCTTTCAGTTTTTCATTAACTAATTTTCATATTTTAACTCAGCCCCATTAGGCTCAGGATGTTAAATTTAATTGGGCATAAACACTATTGCTAAAGGAATTACAGCTAGCACCTGACCTACTTTATAACTCAGTCTGTCTGTTAAACCGAGTAACTGAAGCAGCAACTGTTGGCTCTGGAAAGGAAGCTGACACATAATTACGCTTCAGAAATGATGTTTACTAGGAGAAGGGGCCTCCAGGCCGTGATCGGGTCTCAAGGGAGGAGTATTAGAAAGGAAACAATACAACTGAGTCAGAATCATGACAGGCCTCTCCTTAAAGGGAAGGAGAGGTTTCCCTTGAAAGTCTAAGAACTTCATTAAGAGTGAGAATAAGGCCGGACAGTGGTGGCACACGCTTTGATCCCTGCACTCGGGAGACAGACAGGTGGATCTCTTCTCTGAGTCCAAAGCCAGCCAGGTCTACATAGTAAGTTCCAGGCCAGCCAGGGCTACACAGAGAAACCCTGTCTCAAAAAAACAAAAATGAGAATAAGAGAGAGAGACAGAGAGAGAGACAGAGAGAGACCATGGGAGAGATGGGGGTCAGAGAAACCCTCAAACACGAGATGTCTGACTTTCACCCCTTGCAGGGGGTGGTCAGAAGTTTCACATGACAAGATTCAGTTCAACACAGCTTATGTGACAAACACCATGGAAGAATCCGGTACTGGTTAGAACCATAAATGAGAATCCAGTGACGCAGCTGAACAGCTTCCTAACAGTCTTCCCAGGGACAGAGCTGCAGGGGCGCATGGCCCCATTTCTTCAGGCTGTGGAGATGATCTGTCCTCTTAAGAGCGGCCATTGCCTTTAAAGGTTCCGATGTTCTCCACATTGACATTTTCAGTTTCTGTCATCCTGAGACACTAGCAGTTTGTCTCCTTCCGTAACACTGTCTGTACCTCATCCACAGCTTCTCCTATCTCGGTTTTCACTCGATATCCTCAGTCAGGTCAGGTGATCCATAACAGAAAGTATCTCCACTTCCTTACATGTGCGTTTCACTGTTTCATCCACAAACTTTTAAAAAATTAAAGGGTATTTCCCTTCTCACCACCTCGCCTACTCACCCACTGATTCCCTAAAGAGGATGACAAATAGGAAGTCATTGTGTACATTTGTTCATCCAGCAATGGTTTACCTTCTAAAACAAGTTCCAGGGCTGGAGAGATGGCTCAGCGGTTAAGAGCACTGACTGCTCTTCCAGAGGACCCAGGTTCAATTCCTAGCACCTACATGGCAACTTGGAACTGTCCGTAACTCCAAGATCTGACACCTTCACACAGACAAACATGTAGGCAAAACATCAATGCCAAAAATAAGTTCCATGGATACATTATGTCACAGAATCAGCAAATGTCCCATTGCACATGACTGTGGTTTTGAGGCAGGCAGTCATATGCGGTTAACACATTTTCCTCTCAGGTTGCTCAGGTCCTCTACTTCCAGGACCACATTGATCCCAGGTACTCCGACATGCTCATCATTCACTCCGGAACTGTCTTGCTGATCATCTCCCATTGAGCCTCTACTGAGGAGATACGCTGCCAAGGGCATCAAAGCTTTTGCTTTGTAATCTATGACCAGAAATGAGAGGATCGTTTCTGCCCCCTGGCTGGGCCTGGCTTTACCTGCCAGTATCTATTTGCTACACTGTAGACTCCTTTAACAGTTGACCTTGAGTGCCCAGTTACTGTTACTTTGCTACAAACTTCTCCAAGTATCAAAATAAAGCAGCTGTGGAAGCTGGAAGTTCCAGCACACAGCCATAATCTCATCCTGTGGATTGTGTGGACTTGTTGGAGTAGATGTGGCCTTGTTGGAAGAAGTGTATCACTGTGAAGGTGGGATTTGAGGTCTTATAAGCTCAAGCTATGTCCAATGTGACACTGTCTCCTTCTGCTGCCTGCAGATCAAGATGTAGAACTCTCCAGCACCATGTCTACCTGCATGCTACCTTGTTTCCTGTCATGAGGATAATGAACTAAACCTCTGAAACTGTGAGCCAGCCCAATTGAATGTTTTCCTTTATAAGAGTTGCTATAGGGGCTGGAGACATGGCTCAGCAATTAAGAACACTGACTGCTCTTCCAGAGGACCCAGGTTCAATTCCTAGCACCCACATGGCAGCTTACAACTGTCTGTAACTCCAGGTCCAGGAGACCCAACACCCTTAAACAGGCAAAGCACCAACGGACATAAAAATATTTTTAAAAAATAGTTGCTGTGTCATGGTGTCTCTCCATAGCAACAGAAATCCTAAGACACTTCCCTACCGCAATTGAGGAAGACACAAAGGCGGAGGGATTCAACTGGGACAGGAAGTCACCTAGCAGAATCTCCATCCACACCTCTGGCAGCTGCTTCTGGTTATTGATAGGAATTCTGTTAGGCTGTCAGCTGAACACTCCATTGTGGCTTCCCTGTGCAGTCTCTGTGATCAAGTGTTGGCCTCCTCAGAGGTTAGTGGATGGTTCTCAAAACAATAAAATGGAAGTGTTCGACATTGCTATGGCCTAGTCTTGGAAGCACCCATCGGAGCTCAAGGGAAGAAACAGACATTTCATCTCCTGATTGGGAATAAGAAGCACATGAAGCTGAGCCACTGTTGCAGCCATCTTTGGAAAGCCTGTCGCCACAAAAGGCCTCCATCACATTTATCCTCATGTTCTGTCCTCCAGTTTCTCCCAAAGCTTCCGAATTCTGCTTCACATCTCTAATGCCCTAGGAATTTCATCTGGTAATGAAGATGACTGGCAGTTACTAAATCATGCTGTGAGCTGTTCTAGAAGATTTTTTTCAAGATTTATTTATTTTTGTCTGAATGTTTTATTTGCATATATGTCTGTGTACCATTTGCATGCCTGGTGCCCTTGGAGGTCAGAAGAGCACATTGGATCCTCTGGAACTGGAATTACAGATGGTTATGAGCTGCTATGTGAGTGCTGGGACTGAACCTGGGACCTCTGCAAGAGCACTAAGCACTCTTAACCCATGATCCATTTCTCCAGCCCCCGATGATTTTTTTCAATATAACTTAGTCTCCATAAAAATTGTATGAGGCAAGTGTCATTGTTAGCTCCATTTCACAGACAATGGAACTAAGAAGTATTGTGAAATTTGCCCAAATCCATAAAACTATAATCGAGAAGACCTGGAATTTCAACCTGAGAAGTCTCCTTCCAGGGACCTCACTCTTAACCGCCATTCTTATTTATTCAGCGAATACTAACTAACCATCCCTAAAATGACGACACTGTTCAAATTTCAGGAGTAAAGCAATGAACAAGGCATCTAGAGCCCCTGCTCTTGTCAGGAGAAAATTTGTAACTGATTGTCTAAGTGGCGTGAACTATAAAGCAGGGTTCAGGTGACAGGAAGTTCTAAAGGAGAGGAAGAAGACTGTGCTGGTAAAGAGCGTCCCATAAGACACTGGCTTAGACACATGACGGACCTAGCCTCTGTGAGGTTCATGTGGCTATTCAGAAGACTGGACCTGATGTAGAAGCAGGCAGGACAGGCAGTGGGGGTGACAGGAGTTGAGGGCATAGACAAGTGAGCACCAGATCACCACCTAAAGGTCTGCAAGGTCTTTTGGCTTTTTCTCTAAAGCCAAAATCTATTGGAAGACTTTGAGCATGAATTTGAGTGGCATATCTAATTTTTCATAAGAATTACTCTGCTTACAATGAATCAAGGGAGCAAGAATTGGAAAACAAGGAAGGTGCTCCTGATGATAATCTAGGCCAAAGATGGCATTCGCTCAAACGGGGTAGCTGTAGTAGAAACAGTGAGAACCGAGGGTTTATTACACTATGGATTCCCACAAGAGGTGATGGTGTCTCTTCACAGATTAGCTGTGGGAGCCAGTGGGGGAAGGGGTAAGAGTGGCCTCACATTCTGTCTTGACATTCGCCACAGATTGCAATTTGCTAAGTCTGGAAGAACTAGGAAAGGGGCACGCTCTGACATGTCAGTTTTAGCCATCCTCATGGAGATAAGGAGACAGTCAGTGCCCAGCAAAGGAGACTGAGAAGTGACTAGGAGAATATAAGGGTCCTAGAACTCGAGTGAAGAAATATACTTGTTGATATAAAATATGCTTCTATCAACAAATGCTGCTGAGGCAGAGTATGTAGAGCTCAGAGATCCATGAATTTAGTGATCTGTGGGTCACTAACAGGAGCTGTATCAACAGAACACAGGAGAGGCATTAGGCCCTACCACCTCCATAGATGGGACCCAACTTCCCATCAGCAACTTACAGCCCTTTAGAAGTCCTCCAATCTCCACAACAAAGACTTCTCTATGTACCAGCATTTCATCTCTGGCATCTGCCTGGATGTGGAGTCCAGATCTATAAAGTGTGCAAGAGACAGCCTCCTCCTCACAACCCACTCTAGGTACCCTGAACCTCCACATCCACCCTCATGCCACTAAGCACACCCTCAGTTGTGTCCTCAAGAGCATACCTGTATCCAAACGGAGCACTGATCATGGGATATCCCCTAACCATAAGGAATCTAAGCTCTGGAGACACCTGTGCATCCTCAAGGTTCCACTCTTGTATTGGTCTTCCCCTCCCCCCACCTCCGTTATTTTTCTTTCCCACCGTCTTCTAACCTAAATCAAGTCTTCAATGAGATACCCAAGTCACACCATGACTTTCTCTCTAAACACAACAAAACACCATGGTGTTTCTGGTTCAGCCTCCTGTAGATAGGTCTGGCCTAGTTTTATCTGAAAAGCAGATCAACTTACAACTTCATTAGGAAGCCACTCAGCTTTGCCAACTGATGGGTGGTATAAGAAAATGAGAGCTGAGTGGATAAACACGAAGAAAGCAAGGAAAAGCCACAAGAAACACAAGTCTGAAACAGATGTGAGGTTGGATGGGAGGGCGGCATCTGGACGTCTTCAGGGGAAGGATCAAAGAAAAGGTACTAGCGAAGGGCTGGCATTCCCACTGAAGGCACGGTGTATGAGTGTATGATCCTCAGAGCAGAACAGAATAGAAATGGAGGAATGTGGTATTCTGGAATCCTTTATCCGATGTCTCCAGAATTGAAATTTGGTTGGTTGGCTAATTAGTTGATTGGATCTATTGTATTTTTATCAGAAATTAAGTGAAATGATCATGATGATGATATCAATAAATAGCATTCAGGAAGTAATGCCTGAAGTCACAAAAACATATGTAGACAAAATGAAGCAAAGAGGAATTCCCACAGTTAGCAGAGGCTATAGCAAGGAGTTGCAGCCAACCTGGATTCCACTCTGCCCTGGTCCAAAGTGAAGGGAGCAGTCGGGATCCTCCCCAGTCCTGACTTCCTACCCTGGACCACAGAATGCCCTGAGCACCCAATGGGGCTGTGCTCAGTTCCTTCAGCTATGTTAGGATGCTGCTGAACAGGAGACCAGACCATCCCATTTCAATGAGTGAAGACTGCAGACTCAGAAGGAACCTCTGTCTTCCCATGAGAAAGAGCTGCACTTGCCCCTACGCCCAGATATGCAGACAGAAATTCTCACTTCTGACCCAAATTGAATATTTAAACTCCCAAAGTGTTAAATGTCAGGACTGCAAATAGTTTAACTTTAATAGTCCAGCTGTTAAAGGAGAAACTGCAGAGGAAGCAAAAGGCTGATGCCCCCTTCCCAGAGCCCAGAAAATGAAAGCTCAGAAGAGAAGCGGCCTACTCCCATCAGCCTCCCTGAAATACAGATTGACTTCTAGGATCACAGCTCTGTCCCTAAGCATACTGGGCACAAAGCTTTGGAAAGGCTGTCTGTCTCCCCTCTGTGGGGATATTTATGGACCTCCATCCTCATGAACCTGTGGTCTAAAAGCCATCTGGCACCGTGTGACCCTTGTCATACCACCACTGTCCGAAAGATGGAGCTGTGAGAGAGGAAAACTGTTACCAATAACTGGGACAGTGCTTCTCAACCTTCCTATTGCTGTGACCTTTTAATACAGTTCCTCATGCTGTGGTGACCCCCAACCCTAAGATTATTTTCATTGCTATTTCATAACTAATTTGCCACCTTTATGAATCATACTGTAAATAAATACCTGTTTTCCTATGGTCTTAGGCAAACCCCGTGGAAAGGTCATTGGACCCCAAAGGGGTCCTGATCCACAGGTTGAGAACCACTGAACTGGGGTTTGGGGCTCAAGAGGTGGCTTCATGGTTAAGAGCACTGACTGCTCTTCCAGAACATCTGGGTTCAATTCCCAGGATCCACAGAGGCAGCTCTCTGGTTGCAGGGAGATCTGGCACTCTCTTCTGGCCTCCCAAGTACTGTGTGCACATGGTACACAGATGTACATTCAAACACTCATGCACATTAAAAAAAAAAATAAAATCACAAAGAAATAAAAACAATTGGTATATTTATAAATGAGAAGTCCCTGAACACACAGTACTCCAGCCAGGTCTCTACAATGGAGAATAAAAAGTAGGGACCCTCTGGTCCAGGAGCAGACACATAACACAAGCCTAGCCATTCACAGTATTTCATACTTACCCACAACTCAAAGAGGGCATATACCCTAATCACTTCTGAGTTGTTGTTGTTGTTTAAATCAATCATTATTTATTTATTTGTTCTTATTTTATGTGCATTGGTGTTTTGCCTGAATGTATGTACATGTCTGTGTGAGGGTGTTGGATCCCCTAGAACTGGAGTTACAGACAATTATGAACTGCTGTGTGGGTGCTGGGAATTGAACCCAGGTCCTCTGGAAGAGCAGCCAATGCTCTTAACAGCAGAGCCATCTTCCAGCCCCAATTCTAAGATTTTTTTTTAAACTGGAAATGAGAGCAATAATCACTTTTCTAAAAATGGAAAACAACAATCCATCTTTCTCTAAAGGGAGGGGATCCTCCTGAAAGTGGAGGCAATCTACACACAAACTGAAAATAAGAGGATTTGATGACATCTGAGCCTCTGCACATAGCCATGAACAAAGTCAGCATGTTTCGCACTATTACCCAACACGTCCTCTGTCCTCAGTTCACTCCACAGTCTAAGGGAACAGACAGACAAGTCTCAGGCTTTACTCAACATTTTTTTCCCATCATCAAGTATGAATGTCATACTGAAAAGTGGGGGTTCACACACAACAGCAAGGTTTTGTTGGTTTGATTTGGATTTTGGTGGGGCGGGGTGTTAGGTTTGCAGGGGGAGTCTGTGTATGTGTTCTATGTAGGAAGGATGACCTTGAACTCCTGATTCTTTTGCCTCTACCTCCCAAATTCTGGGGTTATAGGCATATGCCACCACACCAAGCTCAATATAACTATTTTTTGTTTATGTTTTTGTTTTGTTGAGAAAAGAAAATATTTGGCTAAGATTGAGCATAAAATTAGTTGCCTGAATCAGAGAGCAGGAAAGAACTGGTTATGACATTAGCGCGCAGTGATCCTTTACATCATTTCCTGTGGAACTACATGAGAATGACAGGAGAGTCTCCTGAGTCATCTGGGAAGATAGCTCAAACACCCAGAGGGAGGCGGGCATGTCGACACTCACCTTTAATCCCAGCACTGGGGAGACAGTGGCAGGTGGATTTCTTTGAGTTTCACGTCAGCGGGATCTACAGAGTGAGTTCTAGGACAGCCAGAACTACATAGAGAGATCTTGTCTCAAATAATAATAATAATAATAGTAATGATCCACAAAACCCAGAGGGACAGCAGGGTGTGTGAAAAGATCAAGGTTGGTGGCACAATCCCTGGGCACACCTGAGAGGGCGCAAGCTTCCAAGAGAGAGCCTCACCTCAGCAGAGCTTGCAGTGGCTCTTTGAGACTCTTCCCTTCAAAGGTTGGGGCTAAATGCGCCTCCCCTTGTACTTAGTGACTTGATTCTAATACTCATGATTGTGATGTGACTATCTGCTGCTTCTGAGAGTAAGTCAGTAATTAGAGGCAGGGAGGCTTCCCCCATTCTCATCCTCTGAGTCCTGGGAGGACAGCCAACACACCTATGGACACTAAGGACGAACTACAAAGAAGTCAGCATGGCCAGAAACAACCCACAGGAACAAGGCTGTCAATAGCCTATGAGGGACCTTCATGGAACAAGTTCCTCTGGCCCCATTTAAGTCTTCAGATGATTGTGGCCCTAGTGACATAGTGACCGTAACCTCCTGGGAGACTCTGAGCCACAACCACCTAGCTAAGCTGTTCCCAGATGCCTAACCCACAGAACTTCAAGGGAAAATAAAAAGTACTGTCCTTTCAAACAACTATGTTTTGAAATAATTCTTTAACAGCGACATAAAACTAATTAAATGCGAGGCCACAGCAGACTGCCCGATAGTACTGACTATAGCACAAGCCAGGAGATGAGCCTAAGGAGTGATCCATCGAGGGCCACATATTCCGTTCTGATGGCCAGAAGGCAAGTATTTCATCACCTGCGGGGGATGATCTCAAACACCAACAACACAGCAAGAACTACGGACATCCACAACAAAGGTCCTGAAGACGGGGGCAAGAGGACATTAAGTATCCAGCCTGGGATCCATAGAAACATCCTACTTCAAATAAAGGTGCTGGGGAGACAGACCTGGCGGTGCACAGCCACAGGTTACAATCCCAGCTGTCTGGAAGACTGAAGCAGCGGGACTAGAAGATCAAGGCTAGGGGCTAGAGAGACAGCTCAGTGCTGTTCCTCCTGAGGTCCTGAGTTCAATTCCCATCAAACCCCATGGTGGCTCACAGCCGTCTGTAGTGGGATCTGAATCCCTCTGCTGGCATAAAGTCGTATATGCAGATAGAGCACTCATACATAAAATAAATAAATCTTAAAAAAAAAAAAAAACAAAGAATGAGTTCAAGGCTGGGAGCTGGAGAGATAGCTCAGATTAAGAGCACTGATTGCTCTTGCAGAGGACCTGGGTTCAATCCTCAGCACCACCCATATAATGGTTCACACCTTCTATAACTCCAGTCCCAGGGGATCCTATGCCCTCTTCCAGCTTTCAAAGGCACCAAGCAGTCACACAGTGCATATAAAACACCCATACACATAAAATAAAAATAAACTATTTTAAAGAAGTAGGCAGTGGTGGTGCTAGTGGTGGTAGTGGTGGTTATTAAAAACCACACTGGGCTACAGTAAGTTCAAGGCTAATCTGGCCAAGTTAGTGAGACCATGTCTCAAAATAAAAAGTAAAAAAACGCTGGGAATAGAGCTCAAGTAGAACACTTGCCAGGATGTTCAATGCAGAGGCCAAATCACTGTACCCCTAAACCTGGCTCGACCAGCTGCGCCTCAGCTGACCTCATCAGGAAATATCTAAAAACAAAAGAAACAAGAGCCCTCTGGGAAGGCACTGGTGACCAAATGCCTAATTAATGACCTGCCACACCTGTGTGGCTGTGAGAAGCAGAGAAGAGAGACAGTATACTCTACAAGATAAGAATTTACCCAACCCCTTTAATCCCAGCACTCGGGAGGCAGAGCCAGGTGGATCTCTGTGAGTTCGAAGCCAGCCTGGTCTATAGAGCAAGCTCCAGGACAGGCTCCAAAGCTACACAGAGAAACCCTGTCTCAAAAAAACAAACAAACAAACAAAAACAAAAAAACAAGAATTTGCCCAACCCCCCCCCCCAAAAAAAAAAGAAGGAAGGAAGGAAGGAAAGAAAAGTCTAAATTAGTGATTACAGCTCCCTCTGGTCAGTTTAAGTTTGTTTCATGAGAGATGTTCATGAGCAAACTAATTACAGAAAGTAAACTTACAAGCTGCACATGGTGGTTCATGTCTGGATTCCAGAACATGGGAGGCTAGAGCAGGAGGATTGCTGTGAATCTGAAGTCAGTCTGAGCAGAAAAATGAGACTTTGTCTCAAAAAAAGAAGAAAAAAAGGAAAGAAGAAAAGAAAGTTATACTTTTGCATACCTGAAATATAAATTTTGAATCCATGTAGTTTTGTTATAGAATATTTCAGACAAGATTAATAAAATGAATAGCCTCAACCCATCACTGATCTAAGAAACAAGAGTCCCCTGAGTACTTGTCTTAGTTTGGGTTACTACTGCTATGAAGAGACACCAAGACCATGGCAACTTTTATAAGGAAAACATTTTATTGGACTGGCTATTTAGTCCATTATCATCATGGTGGGGAGCATGATGGCGTGCAGGCAGATGTGGTGCTGGAGCTGAGAGTGCTACATCTTGCAGGCAACAGGAAGTCAACTGACTCCAAGCATAGGAAACCTCAAAGCCCACCCCCACAGTGACAAACTTCCTCCAACAAGGCCACACCCACTCCAACAAAGCCACACCTCCTAATGGTGCCACTCCCTGTGAGATTATGGGGGCCAATTACCTTCAAATTACCACAGTTCTCCTCCCCATCATCTTCTACCTCCACAGGAAAATGCTACCCTGAGTTCTGCATTATTCTCATGCATTATTTTTACTTTACAAGTCTATTTATTTAAAAATCATAGTTTTGCTTGCTTTTAGTATTTAAATGGAATTATAGTGTAAATACTTCCGCAACTTCCTTTTCTATTTAATATTATAGCTTTGAAGAAATATCAGGGCATGTGGAATTCTGGCTAAGCCAACCTAACAGGTTTTGCTGAGACAGGTATGACAGTTTACCGTTACTGTCAACCTGACTAGATTTGAAATCACCTAGGAGACACATGTTTAGGTGTGTCTGTGAGGGCATTTCCTGAGATGTTTAACTGAAAAGGGAAGCCTCGCCATGACTGTGGACCACACCATCCCATAGATTGGGGTCCCAGACTGAACAAAGAGTTAAAAGTAAACTGAGCACTAGCATTTGTTGTTGGTTGGTGTTGCTCTTTTGTGGGGTTCGCCACCCAGCTCCCAAATAAATCACACACAGAGACTTATTATTAATTATAAATGTCCAGCCTTAGCTTGGCTTGTTTCTTGCCAGCTTTTCTTTTTTTTTTTTCAAAGATTTATTTATTTATTTATTATGTATACAGAAGAGGGTACCAGATCTCATTACAGATGGTTGTGAGCCACTATGTAGGTGCTGGGAATTGAACTCAGGACCTCTGGACCTCTGGAAGAGCAGTCGGTGCTCTTAACCTCTGAGCCATCTCTCCAGCCCTTACCAGCTTTTCTTAACTTAAATTATCCTGCCTACCTTTCCCTCTGGGCTTTTTTCTTTTCTTTCTTCTGTAATCTTACTTTCACTCTTACTTCATGGCTGGCTGTGTGGCTGGGTGGCTGGCCCCTAGTGTTCTCCTCTCCTTGTTCTCTTACTCTTTTCTTCTGTTTCCCAGATTTCTCCTTCTATTTATTCTCTCTGCCTGCCAGCCCCACCGATCCTTTCCCCTGCCTCGCTACTGGCCGTTCAGCTCTTTATTAGACCATCGGGTGTTTTAGACAGGCAAAGTAACACAGCTTCACAGAGTTAAACAAATACAACATTAAAGAATGCACCACATCTTTGCATCATTAAAACAAACGTTCCACAGCACAAACAAATGTAACACACTTTAAAATAATATTCTACAACAAGCATTCATCTCTCTCTGCCTCCTGACTAGACAGACACCTCCAACTCCAGCCACCATGCCTTACATACCTTGATGGATCGTACCCTCCAGTTGTGAGCCAAAAGAATCACTTCCTGTCTTCAGTTGCTTGTGCAGGGTACTTGGTCACAGCAATGAGAAAGGCAGCTTATATACACGCACCAATCAAAATGATCAGACGTCACCTGAAGGCTGGAAAACTGAACTGAATATGGACAACCAGGTTATCAAAATGGGGATTATTGATAAATGGTTTTAGCAGGAAGATTTGATAAGATGGGATTTTGTAAGGAAATACACAGACGAACCTAAAAGAAGACTCAAAAGCCTGACTGGAGTTTGGTCAGGCAATGGATCTTCAGCAGAGGCTCAGGCCTGGAGATACTTTTTTTCTCCAGAGACTCCCTTTGGTTTTCTAAGTAAGTTGGCAATGCCGTTAAAGTGGTGGAGGTGTTTATGTTTCATCTGACTCACTGAGTAACTCTGTCCTCTAGGCTTGCTTAGAACATATGACACACAACACAGTTGTCCTGTCACGTGTTATCCAATGATGATTCAGCTTCCCATGTGTAGGTGGAGAAAAAAAACTCAAAATCAGGAAGCCTATTAAGAAAGCATTCAGGAATTTAGAGAGAATAACTGGAATCAGGGTTATAGTTAGCAGAGACAGAACTAGATCTGAGAGATGTTTAGTGTGTAAAATCAACTGCATTTCAGGCAACCAGAGATCTAGAGGCGCTGGAGAGATGGTTCATTGTTTGGGAACACTTGACACTCTTCCAGAGGACCTGGGCTGGAGTGCCAGCATCCATATGGCAGCTCACAACCGTCTGAACTCCAGTTCTGGGGAATCCCATAACTTCTTCTGGCCTCAAAGGGCACCAGGCACCCACGTGGTACAGAGACCTACATGCAGACAAAACCACCAAACACATACTTCTCTTTCTTAAATGAGAGATCTAGAGAGGTGTTTATGGGAGTCAGGAACTCAGGGAAGAGATCTGAATTGCATACATTTGAGGGCTCTATGAAGAATCAGTGACTGAATTCACAACACAGATGGTAATGGACAGGGGCTGTGTGTTGTGAGCAGCCAGGATGACGGTGGATGGAAACAGAGACCTGAGATGGATCTGCATAGGCATCAGAAGGACCTGAATTCTGATCGCCACCACCTTTGTGAAAAGCTGGACATATAAAGCCAATTGTAACCTGCGCCATTAATCTGAGCCAACACAGCAGGAGCCTGGGTCTCACTGGCCAGCCAGTCTAGCCAACTGTGAGCTCCAGGTTCAATGAGACCTTGCCTCAAAAAATTAAAGTGGAGGGTGATAGACTATTTCCTCTCATGCACTCTCTAGGATGCACAAACGCAAAGACGGAAGGAAAAGGGGGAGGGGCAAGCGGACAAGGGAGCATAGAGGACGTAAAGAAGGTCCTAGGATCCAACTGGGAACGATTATCTGCAACTTAAGAATTTAAAGGAAGTGGAGTAATCAATACACGCCAAAATTGGTCCTTAAAGTCCCAGAAGACAGGATGGTTTCCACTGAGGCCCAAAATGCAGCATTTCCAAAAGGAGGAGAGAGCACACGTCAGTGATTCTGGCTGGGCGACCAGTCAAAATGATCTAAAACTGGGCATTAGACTTGGTGAAACATGGGCAATATGTGTTCCCGGGAAGCCCGGGGAAATGGAGTGAACCGGGAAGCAGAGGGTGGAACGCATGCTGGTGAGAACCTCAAGGACATCGACTGGAGAAGGAACTTAGGCACCTTCGAGCGCTGCCAGGAAGAGGCGGAACAGTGAGAAACGACCAAGGAAGAATCAGACGATCAAAGAACCCCACGGTGCCGCCGCCAAGCGGGTCCTTTCTGCACTCCGTCCTCCCCTCTCTTCTGCGTCATCACTCTCTTCCCGGGCAAACTTCGTCTTTCGCTATTGCTATATAACTCCTTCCGGGTCGGGGGTGGAGGGGGGGGGGGGGCGGTTACACCTAGTCCTGAAATTCGCGTGAACTGAGGCGCGTAGTCGCGACCGGTATTTAAATCTCGCGCAGGCGTGTTAGTTTCCTGTCGCTATGCGAGTGCTCGTGGGTGAGGGAGGGCTGAGAGAGTCGCGGGCGGGCTGAGAGCTGGGAGACCCGCCCCACTGGGCGCGATCCTCTTAGCAAGCAACCTAGGCTTGGTTCCCCAGCCCCAAGGGCCGAATCTCTGAAACCCTGTGACCTGGGTCACCTCTGCAGGGCGGGGTGGGGTGGAGGAGAGGCCTGGTGTCAGAGGAGACAGGCCTGCCTCCACTCGGGGGATAAACACTTGGTGCTCTCCCATCAGGTGGCGGGACGGGATTCATTGGGACAGCCCTAACCCACCTGCTGAAAGCCAGGGGCCACACCGTTACGTGGGTCTCCCGGCAGCCTGGGCCGGGTCGAATCACGTGGGTACGTCCAGCCTCTGCGAGATGGGTGGGAGGGCAGTTTGCGGCGGCGGGAAGGACAGTACCAGGAGGTTCTGTGCCTTCTCCAACAGAATGAGCTCATTAGGTCGGGGCTGCCCTTCTGCGATGTTGTCATCAACCTGGCTGGAGAGAACATCCTCAACCCTCTGCGAAGGTCAGCTGGGCCATAAAGCAGTATCGCCAGCACGGAGGGAGAGAGGGTCGACTCCTGTGAGCTGTAAATGGTAGACATGGACTGTGCCTCTCCTTAACCTTGGAGCCTGTTCTATACCGGTGCCCTAAGAAAAGCCACTGTTGTGGCTAAAGAGACATATGTAGTCCATGCCTGTCATGGAGAGGGGAAAGTCTTACCTTTCCTAGCCACCCTGAGTTATGCATTCAGACAGACTTAGGACACCTGGCTAGGGTGAGTAGTAAGGATAATGGGTTGGATGCATGTCTGTACTTCTGACCTTTTATCTTCTCTTCAGATGGAACGAAACTTTCCAAAAAGAGGTTCTTACCAGCCGCCTGGATACCACCCACTTGCTAGCTGAAGCCATCACCCAAGCCCCACACCCTCCCCAGGCATGGATACTAGTCACGGGTGTAGGTATGCCCCCAAATCACCAACCTCTTACATTAACAGGGAGAAAGCAGCTCGGGCCCTTGGGGCTAGCGGACCCTTGGGGCTAGCCACACCCCACTGCAGCACCTTAGAGCGTAGATCCTTTCCGGTATAGCTTCGAGACCCTCCAGCCACAGCAGGTTTCTCCTAACCTCTGTATTTTCACTATGTGGTATTTCTGGGTGTGAACGGAGTGGGGAGTGTACGTGGCTAGAGACTCAAAGCTAGAAGTCCTTATCGGAAGCCCTCAGAGAAAGAGGAACTCAGTCCTAATGCTGAGGAACTCTACCTACTCCCAAGCCCCTTGCTTTCTGGACCACAGTTCTTTATGAACAGCCCCACTGGTGTGCCGCCCTTGAGACCACAGAATTGTAAACAGTTAAAATGTAAGTAGTAGCCACCATACTAAGTAATTTATACATGTTGTATTATTTAATCCTTGCAACAACCTTATGAGGTAGGTAGTTACTCCCATATTGAAGATACAGATTGTTCACACAGAGAAGTAACTTGCCAGAAAGTCAGACATGAGGCATGGTGGAGCTCAAGCAGCCTGGCACCCAGGTTTCTGTTCCTAACCACTACAAGCTAGCAGCCTCTGGGTATAGCCCTGCAGCCAAAGGCTAGACTTCCAGGCAGGAACACATGGAGAAGCTCAAGGGGAAAAGTCACGGTCCTTTCTTCTCCTGTGGAGAGCCAAAGGGGCAGAGAGAATGAGGTTAGGGAGCCTTTAACTGCGGAGGGCCCAGCAGCACAGGGCCAGCCAGAGCAAATGAGTGCTCTCCCATGGCAGCTTACTACCAGCCAAGCCTGACTGAGGAGTATGACGAAGACAGCCCGGGAGGGGATTTTGACTTCTTCTCCAACCTGGTAACCAAATGGGAAGCAGCAGCCAAGCTTCCTGGAGAGTCTACACGCCAGGTCGTGGTACGTTCAGGTGAGGACCAAGGGCCTGGGAACCAGGCAAAGTGGAAGATGTGTGGGCCGAGGAGGGCTGAGCTTACAGTGAGAGGACACTGTCACTCTAGTAACCTAGAGAGGGAACGTCCCAGGAAGGTCCATAACCCTCAACTCTCTCCACTCCAAATCCATATGGGAAGAAAGCAAGGAAGGGAAAGGAGAAATCAGCAGTGCAGATCGTCAAGGCTAAGCAGCCTTCCTGTACCACCTCTCTTGCCTGCTTTAGGGGTTGTGCTGGGCCGAGGGGGTGGTGCCATCAGCCACATGCTTCTGCCCTTCCGCCTGGGCCTGGGAGGCCCCATTGGTTCAGGTCACCAGTTCTTCCCCTGGATACATATTGGTGACCTGGCAGGAATTCTGACTCATGCCCTCGAAGCAGACCACGTCCAAGGAGTCCTGAATGGGGTGGCTCCAGCATACACCACTACCAATGCCGAGTTTGCCCAAGCTTTGGGTGCTGCCCTGGGCCGCCCAGCCTTTATACCTGTCCCCAGCACTGTGGTACAAGCAGTCTTTGGACGAGAACGTGCCACCATGCTGTTGGAAGGCCAGAAAGTGGTCCCACGGCGGACACTGGCCACTGGCTACCAGTATACCTTCCCAGAGTTGGGGGCTGCCTTGAAAGATGTTGTAGCCTAAGTGGAGAAGGACCCCAAGGCAGGAGCTGAGGCCTGTTCCTGCATACTGAGGATGGGTTCAGGTGAGCCCTGTAGTTGCAAGCAGAAGCCATCTGGGTCTTCGAATCTCTCCTCCTCACTTCCTTCCTGAATTGTTGTTCCGTCCCTATCTGAGGAACTCCAGTCAAGGTTGTAATCTCATTCTAACCTTAACCTCTTCAGCTTCTTGTGGGTCACACTGTTGCCCCAGTTCTCCTATATGCTGTGTAGAGAAAGTTCTAAGTTATGGCAATAAAGTATATCACTAGCTTCAGCTGTCTCTTTGGCTTAGATTCTCCTAGAACTCCTCTTAAGAACTGTGTATTACTCCAGATGGCTCGTCTTCCTAAATGAGGTTCTGAATGTTATAATATGCAATCTCTCTCCTCGCCCCTCTTTCTTGGTATCTCTTCCCAAATGAGCTGATGAGACATGAGGTTATGACCGAGGTTAAAGACAATACATACAAGGATCTATTTCCAGTGAGTTCTGGTGCCACCCTAACCACCAGTTCAGAGGATGCCAGCAAAAGTGGGGGAAAGGCCTGTATGCTGGCCTTCAGCGTTTCACAATGACAGTGAATTAATGTAGCAAACACATGCCGGTCCCACCTCATACTGTAGAAACAGAGCCAATGTCCCTCTATAAGCCTAGGATTTGTCTCTCATCTGCTGGGAACACGTCAGCCTTCCAGGGCCCACAGCATAAAAAGGAAGCTAATTCTGGCCTTTTCTACACCCACCACTATGGCAAGTGAAAAGAGCAAGAAACCAATCACAAACCTGAAAAGCAGTTCTACTGACAACCAGTTCAGACCATTCACTGTTTCCTGGGCACTGAGAAGAGTCACTGTCATTTCCCTGATCAATCTGTCTCCAATGCAGCTGTCCCAGCCTGAGTCAATCTGGTATAGAGGTGGAAACTGCCCAATGAAACAGGCTAAGACACTGGCACCTAGGGACCCTCTCCCTGATCACTGAGCTCCACACACAGTCAACTCTCTGGGTCACTTGAAGTCAGCCAAACAGAAAAGAATCTAATTCAGGGGCTTGCTACAAGGTCCCAAACAGAGCTGAACCCAGGGGCGCCTGCCTGACCTCTTGATCTGAGAAGTTGACTAGCTCTGAGTTATTCCTGGGGAAGGTAAAAGTAATCGAAGCATGTTACTACACTAGAGAAGAAGCCACTGGAAAAATGACATCCAGGTCAGGAATGTGCCACCTTACACAGTAAATTCCCTGGCACAGGAATCGAGCAGATACAGCACAATGACTTGTGGGAATCAGGATGTAAACAGTTGGTCATGATAGGTCAGTGGAGTTGATCTGTGACCAATCAGGTATCTTTTCCCAGAAACTAGTTTCTTCACCATACACACAAAGCCCAATGCAACCTCCGTCTTCCATAAAGGAAATATTAGATAGAGCCCACTAACATTGTTGCTGCAAAGCATGGCTTCACCACCAGAGAGAGGATTCAACCAGGGCCTTTCTGAGACATTTATGAGTCTGTAAACAAACAATTGAATGCAGCTGACCAGCTGCCACTTCTAGGAACCCTGAGAGTATTTAGGTAATGCGACCATCAACCCTAACAACTATTTTGTTAATATGTGTTTTGAAGGTTGCTGGAAAAGGATGCAGCCATTACAGGGCATGTTCTACTGAAAACCCAGTGTTACACTGAGGGTACGGACTGTGGACATCTCTGAACATGAAGCGTAGGTTAGGGAGCCTATGCAGCCCCAAGCAGACACACCTGAGACATGATCCAAGGTCACTTCCTCACAGGAGCCTTCCTCTGTTCTCATGATTCCTCTCAAAGGTTCTTTTTTATGCCTGATACCTAGACATAGGAAAGGCCAAGCGACTCCGCCAAGGTCACAGGCAGACACACCTGAGACTGGAACCCCCGCCCCTCTGCCTTCTGGTCTCTGCTGTCCCACTGCAACAGCCCACATCGCACTATGGCCCCTCCAGAACCCAGACAGCTCAGCCTATCCTAGGAACCCAGAAGGATGCCATCTTCCTCAATTTAGCCCTTTGTGCCACCTCCTGCTTACCCTAGCCTCCAACTCAGTTTACCTTGGAGGTGAGGCCAATGGTCTTCAGTCTTCAGGAAGAGCTTCTACACCCTACAGAAACCCTTTGCAAAGATGAGGTTCGGGAGTTAGATCTGATCAAACCTAAGAGCTGGTTGCCGTCCTGGCTCAGGTCGAGTCACTTTTTATGGACCTGTACTCAAAGTACCCCAAGGCAAGGTTATTCCCACACTCAAATCCCCTTCTCCAGTGCTTCCTCAAGCCAAAGCACCATCTGGGTCACATCTGAGCAGCAGAGGGGACTGTAAAGAAGAGGCTGGGCCGGGGGACGCTGAATCTGATAGGGCAGCAGCTAGGCAAGCAAGGCAAGCTCAGAAGTTGAGGCTCAGCAGGGCCTCCGAAAGTTGGTTAATATCCCGGCAGTATGGCTCCCGCTGCAGGATGAAGTCCACTTTGTGGTCCTGACCCCAAAACACCTCCAGCAGCTGGCGCCGGAGCCGCTCTGTCTCCCGGGTCTTCCGAATGCCACCATTGCCTGTTTCCTCTTCCTTCCCCTGCTGCTGATTCCCATGCTCTGGGGGGCCTCTGGAGGGCTGGGGAGCCTTAGAAGAGCCCTGTTTCCTGGAGAAAAGCAGAGTAAGCATTGATGCACTCTGGAGCAAAACTGGGCCTCAGGGAGCCTCGGCCAAACTGACCGATGTCCAGCTTCAAGAGATGAATTTGTGAAGTTTCCTAAGCCGGCCACCGAGCGGCAGTATCAACCCACTAGGAAGACAAGCCTAATGAGACGTAGTCCTGCTTCATCACTTGCTTAACGAGCCAACAAAAGGTGTGGGGGTACAACTGGCTATCATGACATGCAAACATCTCCCAGATCGCTCCATCAAACACACTGACCAGAGAGAGAAGAAATAAAAGTTTCTCTCCCTAGTACAAAGCTCTGTGTCAGGGTTCTCTGGGAGGGACTTTAAAGGGCAGCCCCTCAAACTCAATACTACTGCAGAATTAAGCTGGCCCAAACTGCAACACTCCCATCCAAGCCTCCAATCTGTAAGAGGAGCATATCGACAGGCTGCGGGCAGAAGCAGGGGCATTACCTGACTGTCTTCTTCAGGAACTCATCCAGGGTGGGGCCATTTCGCCCCAGGGGGTCATCTGGGACCATGAAGAGGTTTCCCACAAAGGTGAAGGGCAGCAGGCTGGATGAGGAAAGAGGGAGTCACAGAAATGACCTCGCCTACCTTGCGGAGACCATCACCGCCCGGAGCTACTGCCTATCATCCTTTGAGGCATCTTCAAGCCCTTCCCCAGGATTCTCACCCAGTGGCCTGAGAAGAGCTGGTTTTAGAGAAAGGTCTGAGTCGGTGCCCTATTCTCACCGCTCTCTGATGATGGCCATCCACTTGTCAGACTCCTCTGCCAGATCCCGGAACTGGTCATTGGAGACAATGATCCCATCAGTCTCTTCGGCCAGCTTCACCATGAACCTGTCTCAAAAAAAAAACACACAGAAACCATTCTGGGATTCTCCAAGGATCGATCCCACAATACGCTATCAATGTCTGTGACCCAATTCTGGTGATGGAGGCCAGTCTCCAGACTCGTTTATTTAAGGGAAGTAGGGAATTGAGCCCAGACCCTCGTGCATCCTTGGCAAGTGCTTTACCACTGAGATGATAGGTAGTAGGCAGGTAGGTAGGTAGGTAGACAGACAGACAGACAGACAGACCAAGGGAGTGGGAGTCATAGAGACAGGCAGGGTATGGTGGTGCACACCTTTAATCCCAGCACTCAGGAGGCAGAGACAGGTGAATCTCTTGAGTTCTAAGACAGCCTGGTCTATTTAGTTCCAGGACAGCTAGGGCTACATAGAGAGACCCTGTCTCAAAAACAAACAAAAAAATTGGAGACAGGATCATGTTAAGTTATTCAGTCTAGCCTTGAATTCACTCTGTAGCCCCAGCAGGCTTTGAACTCTCAATCTTCCTGCCTCAGCCTTCCAAGTAGTTGGGATATTGAGCTCCTCCCCTCCCCATCCCCCAGCCACAGGTGACTAACGAGACATAGGCACCAGGGTTAAAGGAGAAACAGTGATGAACCCAAGGTAGTCTCCCAACAGTATCCCATTCACCACAAGCCTTTACTGAAGACTGTCTAAGAAACAGTAAGAGCTAGCTATAACTTTCTCCTGCCCCGCCAGTCACTCACAAACCTGCATTCCTCCTCTGACCTTTCCACACTGCCTTTCTTGCCAAGGCCACAATCACCTTAATAATTCAGACATTAAACCTAAGACTGCCGCCAGCCTCCCACCACCTCACCTGCCTCACCTCACCATCCTCCAGTCTCACCTGCTCTTCCCCTACCTACACAGAGCTCTTCCACACCTGCCCTTCACCCCAACCCAGCCCAAGTGAGAGGCCTCGAATAAAGTCCACATGTCCAGGCTGGCAGCTAAGGCCTCTAGAATCCACCTCCATGTCCCCTTTACAGCCTTTTCTCTCTCAGTATTCCCTAATGCACCCTCAACTGGAGTTGAGATCAATGATCAGACTGCACTCTTAACACGTCCTCTGCTCTCTGATTTCAGTTTCTCAAACTATTCCCTCCATCTCAGAGTGTACCCCAAACCTCTACCATGGCAGCCACCTAAGGAACTTGCTTTCTGGGAGCTGGCACTGTGGCACAGCTGGTAGAGTGCTCACCTAGCTGCAGCAGGCCCTAGGTTCAATCTCCGGCACCACATAGGCTGGGCATGGAAACATACACCAGCCCTCAGGAGGTGGGGACAGGACAGTCAGAAGCTCAAGGTCATCCTTCATCACTCAGTGAGCCTGAGACCAACCTGGCTACATGAGACCTTACCTCAAAAGATAAATAGAAAAATAAAATGGTCCAGCTTTAAGGTTTATCTCTCATGCATACAGGTGCTTTGTTTGCATGTATGCCTGCAGACCAGAAGAGGGCATCAGACTGTGAGCTGCCGCGCGGGTGCTGGGAATTGAACTTAGGACCTCTGCAAGAGCAGCCAGTGCTCTTAACTGCTGAGCCACCTCTCCAACCCCAAAACTATAAAGTTTTTTAAAGACACCTGAGCCCCACTTTAGTAATTTTCTGGTTTTGTTTTATTTTGTTTTATTTTTGAGACATGAGCTCACATAGCCCAGACTTACTGAATAGCTGAAGCTAACCTCAAACTTCCTGCCTCTGCCTCTACCTCCCAAGTACTGGCA